CGGGCATTATCTACATGTTATATAATTCACACCTGACACAATTATAACAAAAATAAACAATAATGATAAACCTAATACAAATAAAACAATGATCACGTATTATATAATTCACACACGATAACTGAATACAAAAATAAGACAACATAAATGACATTAAGATGTGTTGCGTGTGTGTGTGTGTGTGGTGGTCGGTGTGATGTATATCGCGCTATTGCCGAATTGTCGCGGCGGCGACAGTAGTATTATTATTAAATTACATTATGACTTTGCACACCAATATACAAAAATAAAATTATTTACCTGAATTAATAACATAATTGCTCATTAACCCTCTGTACTTATTTACTTCAAGTTGTTGTTTTTCTTTTATTTTTCTTTTAGAGCAACCACTTTCAAAATGTCTTTTCATTTTTAAAATATGAAGAAAGAATGAAGGTCCAAAAATTAACACATTAAACAATATTATATTCATTAAATAAAAGACAAAACGAACAACGATAACAGAAGACAACAAATTTGTTATTAACATAATTACGTGTTGTGCTGTTGTGTACTGGTGTACAAAAATAGATTTTTCCCGTTCGATTGATGTGTGACGGTCGACGGCAAACGATAACAACTGATAAAATGTGTAGCAACATGCGGGTAGGTAATATACACATTATACACTTTAGTGGTATATTTTGACATAGGTAGTTAAAAATAATGTTGTCAGCAGATTTATCATCGATTTTTTTTAGTTGATTTATGCTATATATATCCTATAACGAAAAAAGTAATAGACAAATCTGAGGCCCCTAAATAAATTCCAATTACCGAGGCCCGGGGGCCATGGCCCCCCCTGGCCCCCCCCTTAATCCGGGCTTAAAAATGTTAATTAATCCATATATGATAGGCACTTAAATTGGTCTTCAAATAGACTAAAAAAGTGGCACACATAGACTAACCTTAGACTTATCATAGGCATCTACATTAGACGTCCATTAAGGGGGGCTTACACGAGATTACGCGAGTACTCAAGCAAGCCACTAAATTTCACTAAATTGAATCGTGTGGACATGGTGTTTTAGTCGAGTAAATAGAGCCCGTTCCTATTTACTCGGCCGAGCTACTTTACTTGCCTTAAAACTTGCATCGTGTAAACCCCCCTTTAGACATATATTGGACAGTGTTTCCCTGGGTGGAGGTTTGTCATGAAAAGTAATTATAATAAGCATTATAATATTATAATAGCGCTATCTAGGGGATGTTCATGAGTGGCTACAACCTGGATGAGGGCCATACTATAGGCAACTCGTCGTACAAGCCGGTTATGGCTAATATACGTGTAATTCCTTATCAATGGCTGGGTCAATTGCTAGGAGCGTCTAAACACAGAACTGAACCGTGACCGTTTTGCGCATGCGCTAGTGACATTTCATAAATTGAAATCTCTTATCTGTTATCAGGTTATTACAACCATCTTATCTTATATCTATGATTACAACTTTTAAAAATCGTTTAATTATGTTCAAATATGAAATAATATTGCAATTTTGAATTTACTTGTATTAAATATACCATAATGTTGGTCTATTTGCATACATTTGTTTGAAATATAGTCTAAAGTCTTTAGTTTCAGGATCATTCATCAGTTCAATAATAAATAAGCATTTTTAATGATTTATAAACTGTTGATTATTTTTCATTACACTGCCTGTGAACAAGACTGATAGACTTATATTATGATGTATAATATTGTTAAATTTGTATCAGGTAATAATATGTTATAAACTTATATTATTATATATTTTTAATTATTAAGTTTTTATGTTTTATAGGAAAAAATTGAAACTAAATGTAATGAACCCAAACTAACAATTCTTTATAAAGATGGAAGATTATAATAGAAATAGTGATAGAATATAGTGTTAATATAATGTCCCTAAAAAGTATAAAATGGTTTTAATTATAATGTAATACATAAAAAATAATTGAGTAATAATAATAATAATCAGTCTTTAGACTTCATCAACTAAAATGTATAAACGAGATATAGAGTAAATGTATAGTGTTGATATAATGTCCCTAAAAAGTATAAAACGGTTTTAATTGTAATATAATACATAAAAAATAATTGAGTAATAGTAATAATAATAATAATAATCAGTCTTTAGACTTCATCAATTAAAATGTATAAATTAGTGTTCTTTAAAATATGAATGTTCCACATCATTTTCCTGCAATATTTTTAATTTTTTGTTTAAAAAGGTGTCACGTAGATCATTACTTTCAAGTTCAGAAGGTTTAAACAAATCGTTTTCCGGTTTTTTTCGCTTTGATTTTGTAGAAAAAAAGTTATTTTGATGAATTATTTTTTTATTAGGTGGATCGTTGTTTATTTTAATGAACTCTTTACTTGGTGCAGATTGTTTTGATGTTGCTTCAATAAATGCATTGAGAGCATCTATCTTTTTAATAGCTTCTTTAAGGTGATCAGAATCTTCAATTAAATGGATTTTATTTACTGTACTCATAGCTTTTTTTTTAAATATTTCATACAAGTTTTCATTTTCATTTGTGTTCTTTAAAGTTTTCATGTGTATATCTATTTCTTGTGTATCTATTGTATGTTTATTTTTCTCATTTAATTCCGATTTTCCCACGTTTGTTGTATAATTTTCCTGACTTAATGCAATAGTATGAATATGCTTACAAATAATTGATTTTATGGAGTAATCTAAACAAGTGCATTCAAATGTATGAATGCATATTTTACATGTACTACAAACTATTACACAACATATTTCCTCGTTAATTTGTTTAACAACATAAGATTTACTTGGTGTATGTTCACTATCTACATTCCAGGTATTTGCATCGTTCTTGGTAATTTTTAAATTAAGTGAAATACTGGTTACATGTCTTTTTTTAATTTCCTGTATTCTTGTTGTTGATTTACCCTTTGTCAATTTGATCATTCTTTCTACTTTTTTATCACGTGTGAATCGTCTTATTGTCATTATACTTTTATCCAATCTTCCAATTTTACATCCATTTAAGTAATGATACTTAATAGTTTTATGCATTGATTCCAGATGCATATTGCAATTTACTCCCAGTCCTTTTCTGTAACAATATGCCCATAATGTTGCTCTATTTGCATACATTCGTTCAAAATATACTCCAAAATCTTTGGTTTCAGGATCATTCATCATTTCAATAATAAATTTGGTTAAAATTTTTTTGAATTCAGTGTCACTAGATATTGTTTGAAGCATTTTCAATGATTTATAAACCGTTGATTGTTTTTCCTTACGCTGAGGTCCAATAATTTTATTTAAATTTTGTCTCCAGGCTTTATCGACATGCCATGAACAAAAAATGCGATGTGGAACTGGACCCATTACAGTTTCCCATGCCGAATAAAAAGTTTCAACGATATCAGTCATAAACGTTTGGGGTTTTATTATACCTGTGACATCATGAATAACTGTGAACATAACAGTATATATTTTTGTATCTTTCAAATTAGTATACATAAAACAACATGGAAACCCTGAACCAAAGTCATCTATAACCATTAAGGTAACTAATTCAAAATCGTATCCATTAAGTCCGTGGGTCCCGTCAAGACATACTACTTTTCCTTGTCCAAATTTTTGTAGCAAGTGCATTTGACCAGGGTCCATTATAATTAAACAAAAATCATTTACTTCTAATTTTCCAGTTATATCAAGAACTCCTGAAATTCAAAATTAGTCCTTTAATGCATTAATTACATTTATATTACCAAAATATATGTTGGTAATTTGAATTTTTCTTAATTTCTGAATTTATACTTATTAAGTAAAAATTAAATTACACATTAAAATAATGTAATACCTTCCTAACTACATCTAAAATAAAATAATTTTTGTTGTAAAATTTACCTTGTTTTTTATAGTATTGAACTGGATTATTATCGCCTTGCTCTTTCATTTGTTCAACCCAAATATCCACACTTGTGGAATCATCTTTATGCAATTGACCGTCCTGAATTGATATATTATACTGATGCTTGATGTTATGAAGATCAGCCCGAGTAATTAGGTCTTCTCTTTTCAAATTGTTTCCAATGTTATCCCTAAAATTATCCAATATTCTACCAACTGTCACACCTTGTGACAACTTTGCAGCGACTTCATGTTTTGTTGTAACTGGTAAACCAATGTGTTGCAGTTCATTTTCTTCATTTATTAACTTAAAACATTTTACTAACATGTAATATTTAATTTATTCTAATAACAAAAACAATTTTGTATTTGAAAATTCATTATTTATGTAATTATAAAATTAATAATTCATAAATATAGATTGACAATCTTTCGGATCCATAGCTCCAAGAGCAGACAGCGTCCAATCATCTATTGTATGATGTAACATACAACATTTTGTCTTGAATATTATTGTTGACATTGACATTGAGTTTGGCTGCCATCTTACACTATTCTGCGTATAACTGCTATTACATTATAATTAAAACCATTATTAATTAATTTAGAAAATAATATGACTATTTACTATTTACTATTTACTTTTCTGTTTCTTTAAAGCATACAATCTTCCATCTTTATAAAGAATTGTTAGTTTGGGTTCATTACATTTAGTTTCAATTTTTTCCTATAAAACATAAAAACTTAATAATTAAAAATATATAATAATATAAGTTTATAACATATTATTACCTGATACAAATTTAACAATATTATACATCATAATATAAGTCTATCAGTCTTGTTCACAGGCAGTGTAATGAAAAATAATCAACAGTTTATAAATCATTAAAAATGCTTATTTATTATTGAACTGATGAATGATCCTGAAACTAAAGACTTTAGACTATATTTCAAACAAATGTATGCAAATAGACCAACATTATGGTATATTTAATACAAGTAAATTCAAAATTGCAATATTATTTCATATTTGAACATAATTAAACGATTTTTAAAAGTTGTAATCATAGATATAAGATAAGATGGTTGTAATAACCTGATAACAGATAAGAGATTTCAATTTATGAAATGTCACTAGCGCATGCGCAAAACGGTCACGGTTCAGTTCTGTGTTTAGACGCTCCTCAATTGCTAACCTCACACTCGTTTTATCATTCTGAAGTTAGCCAAATGGTCCAAAGTTTCACGAAGTACATTTTCAAGACAAAAAAATTTTTTGAGGACTTTTCTCAATGGTATAAGTTGTTCAGTACAGTTAATAGGTTCAAGAATAGACAAACCTTTTTTAATTATTTTGTTTAAACGTTGGCCAATAACAACTTCTTTAGGTTCTACATACGATTCTGATACGAATACGAAATCTCTTATGTTCAGTTTTAAAACAAATGAAAGCATTTTCTATAATATCTCCAATATCAATTAACATTGAGTAACAATTTTCGGGCATTTTATTTTTGTTTGATACTCGTTCAAAATAATTTTTAGTAAAAATAACTATACATACCCTCCGAAAAAATCTGTTCTACACCATCAACAACCATTTGGATAACATTTCTAGGTATAATTGGATTAGCATATAAAGAAGCAATAAAATTAGCAATAGACTTATTCAATATTTTAGCAGGATTAATAACATCATTTTCATTTGCTGAATCCGGACCACGGTTATTTACTCAGGTTGGCGGACGCTTCTATACCATAAATGTATTATATCGGTCTATGCGGCGTCAGACTGAACTAAAAGCGCTAGTAGTTAGGAGGCCTACTTTTACATGTAGACAATATGCCCATTCATAGCATTTTAGTAATTAGTAATAGTTACATTCTTGAAGAACTATCATATTATACCGTTCTTTTATAGATAATGATAAGCACTTCGTATAATGTTTTCAAAACGAATTTCTAGGATAAATGATTGATAAGATATCAGCAATAAACAAACATAATATCGTCATACCTGTAGCGAGCTGTGACTTTATTAAAATATTATAAATAATCTGGACAAGAACTCTATTGCGCGTGGCCTCGAAACGTATATGTTCATAGATATATAACTACTCATATGAATATTATTAAAATAATATTCATAATAAATAATTCACAATGAAAAGTCGTGTTGCTTCTGTAGAGATGACAATGACTAATAAGCAAGGGACATCCGGCACGAGCAGCGCATCCGGCACGTGCAGCGCGTGGCTGACCACGATATGACCTTATATGGTAAAGTAGTAGGATAATAGGCAGGGATATGATCCAAGTATAGCCATTATAAAATCGTCTCACGAATAGGCTTCGGCAGACGGACCAGCGACACCGAACTAGGCGAACTAACATCAACGAAGAGCTAGGAGCTAGGACACTAAAGTCACATCTCGCTAGTCTTCATTATTTTAAATAGTCATTTGGACTTTGTAAATTTATTGTGTTTTGTTTTAATTAAATAAAAAGTATTCAAATTATAAAGAAAATTCAAACTCTTGTTCATTTATTTCCAACACCATCAACCGAGCGTAGTCAGATTGTTACATACCCGGCAGGTACCGTTACCATATTTTGTAATTTGTTGACTATTATAGTTGTTTTCATGTTAGATGTTAGTGCTCATAGATAAGTAAAATATTACTGCTGTAGTGCTGTACTGCTGTTTACTGTTCAGTGTTCGTGTGTAAAGTTTTCATGAGCAATTTCTTATTTATTGTATGAACCAAGAATTATATAATTATATATACCACGGTGAAAAAGTGTTGCATAGTGGGTTGCACTTCTGGCTATAAAAACAGCTCGGTAAAAGTTCCCCAGTTTTCCCAAGTTTTAAATGTTTATGATTTATTCAATTTTTTTTAAATTGTAAGGTTTTAAACCTTAAGACTATATGCGCAAATAAGTGGGGCTTTAGGGGCTAAGCCCTCCCAAAAATTTCAAATGCCCGCCAAATATTTTATATTTATTTTTTTAATATAATATAAATAATAATAAGAGTATAAATACTACAGTCCATTCCACGAGAGAATAATCAGTCCGCCGACCGATTTTCGTCCGCGTTTGCGCATACCCCCATTCTAGAGACCACCTTCGAGCGCCTTCGTCGGTGCACGCCGATAGTCGGCTCTTTTGAGCATTTCAGTGGGGCAAGCCACTTGTGGAATTCCATGCTATAACATACTATGAGTATGTATAAATATGTATTGGGCATTATTCACCGGGCGCATCGTTTTAGTGGCGCCAAAAAGATAGTAAAACAAATAAAACAAAATAACAATTTAGTTGACATTTGTGGCAACCAAACGAGCAAATCAAATACCAAAAAAAAATTTTATAAAACAAAAGGGAATCGTCCATTATGCATAAAAAATTTTACCTATTTGGTTTATTTTCATATTAATAATAATACAAATAATAATTTCACACATATCATTTTCTTTTTGTGAATATTAAATGTTTATGTGTATTGTTATAACATATATCTAATAAAATAAAATTCCAAACATGAAAAATAATGAATTGTAGAATTGTTTCATTTTTGATATACAAAAAAAAAAATAGAATACCTTACATTTTGTGCATTAGCACGTAAACATTTTCAAATTGTGTAGAAGGTAAGGTCAGTTGGGGTAAGTGCAGATTTGGGGTAAGTGCGAATCCAGATATTACGGAGTATATATTAAGTTTATGAAAGACTGTCAATAATGAAATTGTTGTACAACGTCCATGTAATATATGTACATAATTGGTCACACTGTATTATATTTCGTTATCGTGTTATCAATCTTTACTTTCAGAATATAAATTTCACTTGTATTTTTCAAAGAAGACGTTCGTTTGCCATTTTTTTTTAAGGCAGTTTTTTTAAAAATTTGCTGTCTTAAACTAAGGTAGGTTATATCATTTTATGTGTAGATTATGATTTAAGTGTTAAAATTTGTATAGTTGTCAATGAATTTTATTTAAGTGCGATTACGCACTTTCCCCTTGTAAAATGAATGACGGGGAAAGTGCGACAATTGTCTGCGGGTAAGTGCAACATGACATGTCGCACTTACCCATTGTAATATTTAAACATTTATTATTAAATGTAATTTAAATTTTGAATATTTTTTAGGGTAAAATGGTTAGATCTTACGTTAGAAAAACCAAAAAGGGTGATGCATATACCAAAGAACAACTGTTACAAGCTACAAATGCAATCACAAGCAAACAAATGACCGTCAGCTTTGCTGCCAGATTATACCGGATACCAAGAACGACGCTTTACGATCATATAAATAAACGACGTGGAATGAAGTCTACAACTAAAGGTAGAAATACTGCCTTATCACCTGCTGTTGAAAAAAGTTTGGCTCAATCATTAACCATTATGGAAAAGTATGGCCATGGATTAAGTCGAACCGAAGTTTTGACATTAGTTGGTAATTATGTCAATGATAATAACTTAGTTACTCCATTTAAAGGTGGATATCCAGGTCATGATTGGTGGATAGGGTATTCTTCTCGACACAAATTATCATTAAAAAAACCCCAAGTTGTAGAAAATGCTCGAAAAAAAGCTTGTGATCCATTCATAATTTACAATTATTTTGATTTGTTATGGGAAACAATGACTGATCTTGGTATAGTGAATAGACCAGATCGAATCTGGAATCTTGATGAGACATCGTTTTGTTTAGACCCATCTAAAACCAAAACAGTGGGACCGATTGGTCAACCTAGTACCCGAACAACACATGGCTCTGGGCGTGACAATACATCTGTTTTAATGGCTTGTAGCGCAGATGGTAAAAAAGGGCCCCCTTTGATAATATTTAAAGGCAAAAATATTTGGGACAGGTGGATTACACAACAGTCTGAATTCCCAGACACTACATATGCTGCCACGTCCAATGGGTGGATGGAACGAGAGGTATTTGTAAATTATTTTGAAAAAAGCTTTTTAAAGACAACTAATCCATCGCCTGCTAACCCTATTCTACTCATATATGACGGACACTCATCTCATGTAGATTTAAAATTAGTTGAAATTGCTAGAAACAACAATGTTACAATTATATTGTTGCCACCACATTCAAGTCACTTGTTACAACCAATGGACTTATCAGTTTTTAAATCAATTAAAACAGTATGGGATCAACGATTATGTTCATGGAACCGAAGTCATCAAGGTCAAAAGCTTCCCAAACAAGATCTCTCGAGAATTATATGCAGTATTTGGGCACAATTAGACACAAAAATAATAGAAAATGGGTTTAGAAAAGCAGGGATTTATCCCTTTAACCGAAATGCAGTTGATAAATCTAAATTTGACCCTATAAGTCTAAGTAGGTGGGAAGTTAGTAACACCCAAGAAAATAACCAAACTACTGATGATCAAACTTCAACAACCGAAATGTATAATGACTTAGTTATCTATAATGAAGCTTCAACATCAACATGTATTGCCAGCAATAACAATTTCAACTCAAATCAAGCTTCAACGTCAACTGAAAAAAATGCAGAAACAGAAATATTAAATAATAGTAAATCGTTTGAGGAGCTATTATTGATTTCTATGAAGCAAGTTGCCGTAGAGAAAACTACCAGAAAGCAGGTAACTAGCGGAGCTACAGTTATTACTTCTGAAGAAGTTATAAATATTTTAAAAGCAAAAGAACAAGAAAAGGGCAAACCAAAAAACAACAAGAAAAAAAAACAGTCTGAAGAAGTTGTCAATGAAGAAGTTGTAAATGAAGAAGAGATTCAAGACGTTATAGATATAAATTTGAATCAACCTAATGAAAACTTAAATATAAGTTTTGTCAGTGGAGTGTCTGAAATCAGTGATTTATTAAATGAATTGGAAAGAGAAGAAGAGGATTTAGCAGAAGAAGGATATATGTTTCGCACAAAAAATTGTGTTGATGATTGGGTTTTAATTAAATATAAGCTTGAAGGAAAATCTGCAAAATCATTACATTATGTAGGTATTATAAAAGAAGTCTTTGATGGTAAGCATAAAATAAAATTTGTCAAACTGAAGTCTGAGAATATACATTCTACTACTTTTGTATATCCTATTGCCGATGATATAGATGAAGTTTCAGAATCTGATATTATATGTAGTCTACCAAAACCAACAATTGGAAGAAGGGGTCAACTCGTTTTTGGAATCACTTTCAGTCAATATAATCTGAAAAAGTAACTTAAAGACTGATTAAATTTTGAATAATTACTTACTTAATCGTTATGTTTTAAAGTTATGTTGTTAATATTAAGTTAATTAGTGTTAAGTAACTAAGTCTGAAAAATTAAGTTGGTGGTTACCTATAATTATTATTTATGTATGTAAGTATCTTGAAAAAGTAACTCAAAGTCTGATTACAAAAGGTTTTATATTTTATTCTATAAATACTTGTTTTTATTAAGTACTACTTGTTTAACTGTTATGTTGATAAATATTAAGTTTTTTTATAATCTAACTATAACTTTGTTGATTGGTTATTTAAATAAAAAGGAAAGAGTTTTATATTGTTGTATTGCTTATTTACTTATACAAATCAAGTTTAATGTTAGTATTTAAATAAATTCCATATAACTTGAAAGTGTTTGTATGTAATTAATGATAGTCTAATTAATACACAAATTTAAAAAGATCTTTAATGTTCTGTCATTTTTTTACCGTTCAGAATTTTTTCACTCTGAAAACACTGAACTGTAGGTGATTGTATGTAATTGTATGCACTTCCCCTATGATACAATTAAAGCATTTTTACTATTTTTCAGACACCGAAAACGCACTTACCCCACTGCTTGGGGTAAGTGCGACACTTCAAAATTTTAAAAAAAAAAATAAAAAAAAATATAAAAACTGTTGGAAATTAAATTTTAACCTCAAATTTATAATCTTTACAATATTCTGAATAAATTGAAATCATCATTATATTCTTTGATTAAATATTACAGTGAAAATAAGTTGCCAAAGATGAACTTTACAATGCCACGTCGCAGTTACCCCAACTGACCTTA